GATAACCACTATTCTCTTTAGAATACGTTTGCATCTCAGCTAAATCTACTTGCCATAAGTCTGCGAAACCTTTTATTATAGTTCTCCTTCTATGAAACTTTCGTCTGGCAGGTTTATGCAGTTCATTGACTATTCGCCTTTTGGTTGCACTTATCTCCATAACAGCGTTATTCAAACCTATTGAAATACTTCTGAATGCTTGTGATCTCCTTGAATAACGTTGATATACTAATAGGCCAGCATACATCATATCCCTCTTATGCCTTGGAGACAAATTAAAATTAATGCACAATGCCTTCTTCGCGTAATTCCTCAATTATTGACATTATTTCATTATCGTGCCCAGTGTGACCGGCTGATTTTGAACTCCACAATAGCCGAAGGCGTTCTACTAATTCTGTAGCTTTATTCCAATAGACGTACTCTTTGCGGCGTTTACTAACACTCTTTCTGGATGGTATCAATTGTAATATTCCTCCACCACCTTTAACTTTTTGCTGCTGACTCCTCATATTATGTGGAGAACCAATTAATGGTTTGATAATTTGCTGATATTTCGTTTTTGATTTCGTACTCATATTCAACCCTTCCCGTACATCGAAATTCTTATATGGCGCCTTTGTATTCTTCAGCAGGGCTGTGTATACGCTCTTATCTCGATCATTGATCGATCTCGGTATGTGTTTCATGAATATGAGGTTATATAGTTCAGACGTTGCTGGAAAAATTTTGCTCCTCTTATTGCTGCACAATAACTCAATTTGTCCGGGAGGAAAACGAATCTCCATGGCACCCATCATCGTGTTTTTCGTGGTGGGATCGATACGAACGCCATATGTGGTGTCATAATTGGGGTCATTAGACTTCAAGTTATCTAAATGTTTTCTCAATTGTCCATCTAGTGTGTTCGCTTCTGCCCCATCAGCGGGCATCATAGTATCGATTGAAATGTGTGAAGAAGATGATGTTGGTGGTGTATCCATCATTGTTCTATATTCGGGTTCTTCATCTTCTTTTTGTATGCTTGAATAATCATCGGTGAAACTACGTGATTTCACGGATTGTCTGGGTGTTTTCGTAGCACCTGGAGACGCATTGCCCGACATCGGTGTGGAATGATATGTGGGTTGTGCCATTATTGTCGTTAACTGTTTGTTAATATTCTTCGTAGTAGCTGTTGTATTTGGAGTTGCTGCTGCTGCTGCTGCTGCTGAGATAACATTCAACGGTTTCATGAGTGGTTCATACACCTTTTCGAGCGCCAATTGATTTCCCATACGGTAATTTTTCAGGCTTTCGAACTTTTTTCTCACTGCTTCGGTTGCTCCAATGAGTTCACGTTTGAGGTGAATTTCTGAATTCATTTCAGTCATTTTCTCATGAGATGTGCTCATAGTCACATCTAATGGTTGAATGAATCACGCGGTGCTTAGATTTCACGGATATATGAAGTTATCGAATCCTTTTCTGTAGCGGCCCTCTTGTACTTCACTATCCTTATCGATAACTATAAATCCATATCTATCTGTCCAACTCTGCGCGCACATATCTTGGAATTGCTTGAATGTAACATCTGGAGATACGTGATCGGAAAAAATGTGGTGAAGATTCATTTCATCCTGTTTAAACATAACTATGAAGTTGGAGTTGTCGCGAATGAGCTGTTTGGGTACTCTGGAGTATGTCTGCGCCAGATAAAAGCAGTCCACATTTTTATGGCGACCCATAGAAAAATACGATCTAATCACATCTTGTTTTTCACAAATGACGTCGTCGAATATGAAAATGCTGTCAGGTTCAGCATTCGCTGGTTCTATTATATCTACATTATTATCAAAAGTGTGGAATCCCAAACCTTTGATCGGCTCCAACACCTTTCGTAGGTACTCATACTTGGGTTGATATAACGATTTTGAGTAGAGGTAGATATTCGTGAACCGTAAACCATTTTCGTTGGTGAGGAGTGATATCATCACATTCGTTTTACCACAATTCGATGGACCAATTATGAGGCCGCGAATTGTGTTGGGAAATAGTGTTCCATGTCGGCGTTCTGAGATGATGTTACTTCCCAACCCCACTTTCTCATCAAAATTGTCCACATTGAAGGTTTCTGCCTGCTGAACTATCCGCATTGTATGACGGTTGAATGATATATAAGGTAGTGCAACCCGTGTTGGGGTCATTTATATTATGAAGCTGGAGCGTTGCACATCGATAAATAATAATAGAATTAGTCGACGAAAGAGAAGCGGTAAAGGGATTGTGAATACCCTAATAAATAGAATACCATTCGAGTTACACATTCCTGGTTATCAATACTGTGGGCCTGGAACAAAACTCCAAAAACGATTAGCTCGGGGTGACCAGGGGATAAATCAACTGGATAAAGCTTGCAAGGAACACGATATAGCGTATCTGAAGTATCCAAACGATTTATCAACTAGGCATTCAGCTGATAAGAAATTGGAAGAAGCTGCCTGGGAGCGGGTAAAATCGAAAGACGCTAACGTAGGGGAAAGGACCGCTTCTTGGTTAGTCACCAATATAATGAAGGGGAAGAGGCGCTTCGGAATGGGATGTAGTGGACGTAGTGGAATGAAAAAACGTCGCATTACAAGAAAAAATAATAAATCGAAGCGTGTAAGCAAAATTGCTTTCGGCTCTGGCGTAGTCCACAAGGTTCGAAATGTCATACGGCAAATGGGTAAGAAGAGTGATGTCGTCAGAAATTTAGCCAAAACATCCCTTATGGCGATCGGAGCTGCCCGAAAATTTGTCAAGATGGCAGGTGGGAAAAAGAATATACGGACACCTAGGATAATACCAATACCTAAAGTTGGCGGAATTCTCCCACTAATACCCATTTTCGCGGGCTTATCGGCTTTAGGCAGTTTGGCTGCAGGAAGTGCTGGTATAGCTCGTGCCATTCGTTCAGCGAAAGAGAGTAGGGAGCAGCTTTCGGAAGCAAGTCGACACAATAGGCATATGGAGGCGATCGCTCTTGGGAAAGTTGGTAAAGGAGTTTATTTGAAACCATATCGAAAGGGGTTAGGCATCTATCTGAAACCTCAAAATTCAAAAAACTGAATGAACTACCTCGAAGGGCCTTAACAGACATTGATCTATGGAATTATGTAGATAAAATGAAAGTACCACACTTTCGAGGTATATTTATGAGGGACAAGCTACCTCGTTCCGGCCCACATCGCATAGAAGCAGCTATTCTGAATTTAGATAGCAATCGAGGCAATGGTACGCACTGGGTTGCATATAAAAAACGTAATAGAGAAGTGGAATATTATGATAGCTATGGAGATTTGCCACCTCCTCAGGAGTTGATGGAATATCTGCAGAGAGGGCCAAAATCGTTGAACACTATCAAAATCACATATAACTACGAGCGCCATCAGGATTTCAACACAGTCTGGTGTGGTCATTTGTGCTTAAAATTTCTCTCGGCAAACAACGGACGCAAAAAAAGTCTTCAATATGGATAGAGAAAGCATCAAACGAATGGGGCACTCATTACTGGCTTACTCAAGATTGCGTTCCCTGCTGAAAATGAGTGAAAAGCAGCTCGCAGACATGCCGAAAGAAGTCGTTATCGGTTGCGCCCCACATGAAATTGCTCTAGTGTGGGATAAACTTCCTCAGCAATTACGTAACGATCCGGACGTATCAAAATACCAATTTTGTGAAGAACATCATCATGAAGAAGATGGCAAACATGGCGCTGCTGATGTGAATGATGGACCAACACCGAGAAGAATATTTTGCTGTTTTTGTCAGATCAAAGATGTGAATGTGGCAAATGAATGTATTAATACTTCACCTCGTGAAAACGGCGGCATTCATCATTGTTGTAGGCAGCAATAAGGTTGTCACCTTTCCATCACGGTTGCGCATATATTTCAACATTTATCACAGTTTCGCCGTCTTCTTCCTCTGAGAAGTCATGTCACAAACTTTCACCATATCTGGGGACCGCAGTGTTTTGAGCGCCGACTTCTACCCACCTATTGAACTCGATACAAAAAAATCCTATGGTTTGGGATTGCATGGTTTCTACTCATATAACTCCGTACTCAATATAGATGAGAAAAATAACCGATTGGACTTTTGGGCTGTGTTAGGAGCTAAAACCACCCACAAAATAGTCCACATACCACCTGGCGCCTATGAAATAGAGGAAATCAATAAAGCTCTACAAAAGGCTATAGCGTGCACAATACCGCTCGATGGGCGAAATATTGATGATATATTTTTTCTCCATGCTAATAATAACACCCTAAAATGTGAAATGAAATGTGTGTACAAGGTGGATTTCACACCTGCGACTTCCATAGCCGGAGTGTTGGGATTTGAAGCCAAGAAATACCCACCTAATATATTTCATGAATCCACGTTGCCTGTGAATATAATAAAGGTTCGTCTCTTGAGGGTGGACTGCAATATTACCACAGGAGCATTCTTCAATGGTGAGGAGGTTCATACACTATATGAGTTCGATGTTGATGTGGAGCCTGGGTATAAGCTATCAAAAGAGCCGCAAAATATCATATATTTACCCATCAGCCCGACTGGGCGTCAGTTCATCGACAACATTACACTGAGAATATTGGATGATAACGGTCTTTTAGTCGATTTTCGAGGAGAAAAAATCATCGTTAAGCTAGAACTGAAACAACTCGCTCATTAGGCAGACACCATCAAAGGAATGAAATGGGGTTTTGTTTTGGGAACCAATCAAAACGCATGCAACCGACTAGCTCCGATACCATTCAGCGCAATATCAATAAGAAGGAGAGAAAACGTGGTAGTGGATTCATTCGAGCAGAACTTCCCGAACGTGAAAGACATAGATTGTCTGCGAGCGACAAATATTTTTTGAAGTCAATTGGTCTGAAGTTACGATAACCAGCTGCAAGATGGTTGCAACAGCCTCTACTAGCCCCCAATTGGACGTGTTTGATGAACCAATTTTAGATCATTCACTGATGAGCCTACATGAGCAGACATACAAACCATATGGGTCACCCTCATTCAAGAATTCTGATGAAATAAGGATCGCCGTCAACTTTCAAGATCTGATTCTTGATATTTCTGAAAGTTACATCTATATTGAGGGAAAATTCACACCAAACGATGCCACTAAAACCTGCTATCTATCTAATAATGCTCTAGCATTCTTATTCGATGAAATACGCTATGAAATGGGTGGCGAACAAGTATGCATGGTACGAAAACCAGGCATCACTACTACCATGAAGAGTATGATTTCTTATGGAGAGAGTAATATGAAATTCCTAGAGACAATTGGATGGGGCCTTGATGGTGGCAAGCAGGTGCTTCTAGATAAAGCTAGCAACGTTTTTAGCGGCAAACTACCCCTTAAATATCTGATGGGGTTTGCCGAAGATTATTGTAGAGGTATTTTGAATATCAAACAGGAGCTAATACTCATCATAGCTCGCTCATTCAAGAACTCATATATTGGGGAAGTGGACGCCGATGTGGAGATTAACAAAATTGAGTGGAAGATAAGACATGTGATGCCATCAGATAAGCAGAAATTGAAGCTATTGACCCGTTTGAATAGAAGTTCTACGGCAAAAGTGAAAATTGCATACAGGATGTGGGATCTGTATGAGTTACCGACTATTCGTGAAACAGCATCTGACATTTGGGCCGTTAAAACTACCAATAGCCTCGAGCGGCCTCGATATATCATCATTGGATTCCAAAACACTGATAACACTGATAATAGATCTGAGGATATCACACAATTCACCCATGCAGGAGTGAGCAATATTCGCCTGTATTTGAATTCCGAAGTTTATCCATACGAGCGATGGAATTTGGATTTCGATAAGAAATTAGATGCAGTAGCCTATTATGCATATGACAACTTCCAACGTAGTTACTACGGCAAAGACATGAGCGAACCAATGATGAGCATCGAGGAATTCCGAAAAAACCCACTATTCATCATTGACTGCAACCACCAACCCGATGCGATGAAATCCTCCACTGTCGACATCAAGTTGGAATTTGAAACACGAAAAACGAAGTTTCCATCGCACACCAAAGTTTACGCACTTATTCTTCATGATGCATATTTAACTTATAGTGCACTGGATGGTTCCATACAGATGGGTGCTTTATAGACATTGAATGTATCATGTTCATGTTAATAATAACGGCCATTTCGAGATTGATTTATATATTTGATATCATAGTTATTGTTCTAGAATCCGTTGTTGTTATACTGAATAAAACGAATATGTACCATATTTATTGTTTTATTTCTATACATATACATTAACAATTATAGTACCCATACATCTTATAAGTATTCAGAGGTTGAAGTAGCCGTTGTGTGGAGATTTAATGCAGAATTATAAGCTTTTTTCTTCTTCTTGTCCTTCTTCTTCTTCTTCTAAATCAGACACCTCTGGAGTTATTCCAATGCTATATTTCCGGACGAGATGGTTCGGCAAAAAATCGGAAATTTCATACAGGAATTGCACTAAGTCCTCTTCAACCATGGCTTCAACAAATTCCTCTACATTGATGTTATTATACTCGAAACGGGCGCAGAGTAGGAACCCCAATTTGTATTGCTCAGCTTGCTTGCAGAGGTTCTGAACCTGTTTTTGATCAAAGCACACACTCGTGTCATAATTAGCTGCATGCATTGCGTCCTGCTCTAAATCGGCAAACTGACATTTCAGCCTCCTCACACTCGACTTGATATCTTCCGCTACCGGCCAAGATTGACTGGAATAATGCATCCACATATTGCACATCTATTGAGGTGAATTATCCTGCAACATAAATGGAAAAAATACTTAGGTCACGAGTGAATGAGTTAAAGAATTGATCATTAATCGAATTATATATCTGTAGCACCACTCACCTATACAAATTCAACCTTCATCAGAGTGTGATATAATAGGTTATATATAATATGTAAGGATTATCATATAGTATTCAAACCCATTTACACTAAACTAAACGTGGCTGATGCATCCCTATGATTAAATTAATTTTCCTATATACTATGAAATGATCTTTACATTTTTTTCACATCGAATTTCATGAGAGCTCTCGTCTTTGCACCCGCGAATAGAGGCTCACTCTGTCCCAAGTATGTTAAAGTGTAAAGACCGTTGGAAGAATTTATCTCATCAATATCGCTCTCCATAAATTTGTCAACAACTCTTTTTGGTAACCAAGTTTTCAAACTCACTTCGGTCTCTTCATCATATAAAATTACAGTACCACTCCTACCGAATCTGGTTCCGCATAATGAGATTTTCTTGATAATATAGCTTTTATTGAGGGGTAGTGATGATATCAAAATTTGCTTTACAATTTCATTCTCCTCATTAATTTTATCATTAATTGAAGCTAAATCGATTTTGGGAGCAGCCATTATTTTCGTCCAAGTGAAAGGGGTGTGAATAATATATGAATAAGCGTACTTACATAAAACAGATAACCTTTGATCACACTCAAACTTTCTCAACTTAATTGAGCAGAAGCAATGTTCAATGTATTGCAAGAACTATGCTTGTGCATGTGGCGGATTTCGTATTTATAGAAACGCAAACAACCCCCACTATAGCGATGTGATGCGCGAAAGTGTCTTCAACTTCGAACACGCTTTCAAGGCCTCACTCTCTCTACAACTCAATGTCACTCACTCTCAAGGTCGCACATGCGGAGGTTCACTCCCACCCAAGGTCGCTTCCGCCGAATGCCGCTCTTGCCTCAAGGCAACTCTTGCCCCAAGGTCACTCCGCCCAAGGTCACTTCCTCCCAAGGCCACTCCTGTTCCAAGGTCACTTCCGTCCAAGGCCACTTCTGCATCAAGGTCACTCCTACTCAAGGTCACTCCCGCCCAAGGTCACTCCTGCTTCAAGGTCACTCCTGCTCCAAGGTCACTCCGCCCAAGGTCACTCCGCCCAAGGTCACTCCCGCCCAAGGTCACTCCGCCCAAGGTCAGAGGGGAGTGACCTCGGGCGGAGAGTCAGAAACGGCTAATCTTATCTACTGAGAGCAATGCCTTTCCTCGGAATATTGTATTCCCACAAACATTCCTATTGCCTGGAATTGATAAAATAACCAGCGAACTGCAGTATATTTTGCTGAACCCCACTTTTCCATAGTATCCTTGTTTTCCATGACCCAAAATCACGAATCCGCCATTACAACATTCGATGAACTGGATCACGCATGCGCATGATTACGACAAACTGTGCTACGATCGACGATGTCCGATAGGGGTAGCGGTGGCATTGTGCGAAACGAAGACACACGAAGCCACGGAGCACGGATTGACCAATCATAAGCATCTGTATGTCTTGACGTGGCGCGCCAATATAAAACATGAAGGCACCTGATATAACCGTATTTGTATACATATAATAAATTCTTGAATCTTCCGTATCTGTTACCAAGTTATCTCTTTCAGGGTGTTTTTTATTAATATTTGTTGTACATATTTCACCACTTAGTTTTATTCATGTCGGGTATACGTGAATCCTCTTTACTAAGGTAGGTACCTATTTTATTTTGATAAGCGTTCAATCATGAGTCCTGGATATGCAGTTCATGGATTGATTTTTTCGAATTAAAACAAAATGATTGGTGCAGATGTTACGTCTAAATGACGTCTATCAGATACGTTTTTGGAACACGTCAAAATGACGTCAATTATTGGTCGAAACTTGACAACGACCAATTGCGACCTATTATCCACGTCGATTCGACGAGAATTGACGTCACCCTGCTGGCTGGGACAGTGGCAACACCGCATCACGAAGTCTCGAAGATTTGATGATGAACAGCGTGAGTCATCGATATTGCATGAAAAGTCATGGTCGTATTCCTTGGGAAAGCTACTGTGAGGATGTTTTGTCCTTGGAGCAATTTCTTAGAGTGATCACTAAATGTCGCTTCACCACTGCCAGCATCATAACAAACCATGATGAGATAATGACAACACCGCATCTCGGAAATTTCATGATTATCGATATTGCAGGAGAATTCATTGTCGGATTCTTTGGGCAAGCTCTACTGTGAGGATGATTTGTCTTTAACAAGCCATAGTTAAACAGTGGCAACACCGCATTACAAAGTCTCGAAGACTTGATAATGAACAGCGTGATTCATCGATATTGCATGAAAATTCATGGTCGTCTTCCTTGGAGAAGCTATTGTGAGGATGCTTTGTCATTGGGACACATTCCTACAGTGATCACGGAATCTCGCTTTACCACAACCGGCTTTATAACAAGTCATGGTGAGACAATGACAACACCGCATATTGAAATCTTGGAAATGTCATGATATATAGGGTGAATATCGATATTCTAGAAGAATTCATGGTTGGTTTCTTTGGACAAGCTCTACTGTGACGATGATTTGCCTATAACAAGCAATAGTGAAACGGTGGCAACACCGCATTACAATGTCTCAAAAATTCGATGATATTGCATGAAAATTCATGGTCGAATTCCTTGAGAAAGCTACTGTGGGAATGCTTTGTACTTGGAACACTTACTTACAGCATAAATCTCTTACAGTGATAAAAAAATCTCGCTCCAACACAGTCGGCTTCATAACAAGCCATGGTGAGACAATGGCTACACCGCATATTGAAATCTTGGAAATGTTATGACATGTTACGTGAATATCGATATTGCAGAATAATTCATGGTGGGATTCTTTGGGACGCTCTACTATGAGTATGATTTGTCTGTAACAAGCCATAGTGAAACAGTGGCAACACCGCTTTACATAGTCTCGAAGATTTGATGATGAACAGCATGATTCATCGATATTGCATGAAAATTCAGCGTCGTATTCCTTCGGAAAGCTACTGTGACAATGCTTTTTCTTTGGAACAAATTCTCACAGTGATCACAAAATTTCACTTTACCACAGCCTGCTTCATAACCAGCCATGATTAGACAATGGCAACACCGCATTTCAAAATCTCGGATATGTTCTGATTATTCATTATTATAAGAATTCATGGTCGGATTCCTTAGGCAAGCTCTACTATGAGGATGCATTGTCTTCAGTTTCTTATAGTGATCAAGAAATTTCCTTCTTTTCTACACTCCACTGGTTTTGGAGTGTTTTTTTTTCCTCTTTTTCTACTCAGATGGCGTTGCTTTCATATTGTCTATGAAGGACGCCTCTGAAGGAATATAATGCCGACTTGATTTTTGTTTGGCTAGTCTACGCTTAGTCGGCGGTCTTAAGACTACTAGCTGAAGACTGCCCTGTACTGATAGGAGTCAGAAGCTCGAAACCAGTCTGTAGGTATCTAGAGTGACCTGGCCAAATCGAAATCAATAGGCATTCAGGAAAGAATTACTTGTATCAGTATTCGTTTATAAGAGCCGATGCATAGATTTCGGGAAAATGTAATTCAATGTTCTGCGTGGCATTACCCAGGAATGTAGTTGTTTTTCTCCCGAAATCTAACATTGTTGTTCATTTTATAAACATTGTGTGGAAATGACTTTGAGCTTTTTGTATTCATATGACATTTCATTCCACTTTTAGCATTGTGGCTATTTTGTAGTTGAGGTTTGTTCGTGTTCCAAATCGTTGAGACGATCCTTGGACTGCGCAGAATCAGGTGCGGATCAAATTGAATCCGAAACACGTTTGGGATAGTTTTGAAACCAGATAAACGAAAAGGCGTTGTCCGTTTTTCTCATCTTCCTTCTCGAAAATAATATGCTGTGTCTTGACTTGGATCGAGGGCATATTGAGGTTAGGGTTATTTTGAAGTAAACATAAAAGAATTCTGAAATTCTGGACCTGGACATAAAACTTATCCACTAAAATATTCCTACACTTATAGCTACCAAAAAGTATCCCTGAATTCCTAATCTGAGTATATAGATTCATCCCACACTATTTTCCAGATTGGTCTAGAGGATTATTTCCAGCAGATAACATGTTCGGAACGTTTGTTATCATCTGAGCGCATGGGCACCCAAAACTATTCACGACAGTCATGGGCAGTTCTTACCCAGAGCACCGAACATCAACTGATGTTCGGTGCCCAGAGGCTCCTACTGCTTTGGACCGATTCTAAGCTGGCCTATAATAGTTATTCATGTATCAAGGGCGTAAAGTAGGCGTTTATGGCCTGTGGCGTGAATAATTGCCCGTTGGCGCTAGCCGAGGGTCATAACACGCTGAAGGTCATATACGCATTTCACGCACGTGATACATACAAAATTTTATGCTCTGGTGGTTTATTTTCTGACTCGACAGTAATGACTATAGATTTCGATAAACTAATATTCCTCCGAATTTAATTTGTTACGTATAAATTCAGTAATCAAGAGAAGCGTAATGTTCATGGATGATTTACATATAGAAACTATCGTATGCATATTGCAATTATCGTGAAAGTAAAACTCTTTGACCTCTAGAAGATATTCATTCCTAAGAATTTTACAATATGCATACCCAGTATATATATACCTACATAATTGGTTTTTCATGAATTGGTATGTGGATATAAGGAAACTGAGAACAGCGGACGGTAAAATGCACTTTACGGCCCGCTAGTGCATAATAGTTATATATGTATCAAAGGCGTAAAGTAGGCATTTATGGCCTGTGGCGTGAATAATTGCCCGATGGCGCTAGCCGAGGGCCATTACACGCTGAAGGCCATAAACGCATTTCACGCACGTGATACATACAAAATTATATGCACTAGTTGTTTATTTTCTGACTCAAAAGTAATGACCATAGATTTCGATAAACTAATATTCCTCAGAATTTAATTTGTTACGTATAAATTCAGTAATCAAGAGAAGCGTAATGTTCATGGATGATTCACATATAAAAACTATCGTACGCATATTGCATATTATCGTAAAAGTAAAACTCTTTGACCTCTAGAAGATATTCATTCTCCAGAATTTTACAATATGCATACCCAGTATATATACCTTTTTCATGAATTGGTATGTGGCTATAAGGAAACTGAGAACAGCGGGCGGTGAAATGCACTTTACGGCCTACTAGTGCATAATATAGTTATTTATGTATCAAGGGCGTAAAGTAGGCGCACGCACGCATTTCACGCACGTGATACATACAAAATTTTATGCACTAGTGGTTCATTTCCTGACTCAAAAGTGATGACCATAGATTTCGATAAACTGATATTCCCCCGAATTTGATCTGTTACGTATAAATTCAGTAATCAAGAGAAGCGTAATGTTCATGGATGATTTACATATGAAAATTATCGTACGAATATTGCAATTATCTTAATAGTAAAACTCTCTGATCTGTAGAAGAGATTCATTTTTCAGAATTTTACAATATGCATACCCAGTATATATATACCTAACTAATTTTGACGTTGTCAATCAAGCTGATGGTTGTTGTCTATAGCAATACATCCAATAAACGAGCTGAATTGTCATTCTTTGACTGAAAAGTAAAAATTAGTGATAATAATAATAGCGAGATATGGAATCGGATAAAGAAGTTTATGATATACTGCTGGATATATATACTAGTATCTATAAAAATGATCATAGGTTTCTCATGAATTGATATGTGGATATAAGGTAACTCAGAACAGCAAGCGGTAAAGTGCGACTTAACGCCCGCAGAACTGGGCGGTAAAGTGCACTTTACGGCCCGCTGTTGCACAAGAGTATTAAACGAAAACACGTGATTTGTGGAATACGAAACAGTCCTGTGAAAACATGAGAGCCTGAAGTTTTCGAACCATTCCCAAACTTCATTGTCAGATTGGTCACAGTGAATCACGTGATACAATATGGACGCATGCGCATTCGCTCGTAGACAAACTTAAAATAGTTAGAATTATCAACGAGACCCTAATGAATGATTCCTTCTATTGTTTCAGTCGCCTTTACCGTCCAGCATGCGCGCAGGTCTGGACTCGCCCTGCTACCAGCCGCCGACTGCGACGCCGGCCAACGTCGGCCTCGGCGGCGGGCCGTTCCTGGCGTCGATGAACGCGTCGGGAAGCGGTTACGCCGCCAAGCTACGCCAGGAGGCGATCGCCACCCCCCAGAGCGCCGGTTACATGCAGGTGGGGCCCGCGAATTATATTCGAAAAACCGGCAAGAGTCCTCACCGAGAGAAATACAGGGCGATTCACGGTGGATGGCACATTAGACGTTTCTGGAGAACGCAACCCAGGATTATTCTGAAAAGAGGGTGCCTTGAATAATTAGTTGTGTTCTATCGACCTACAATATTCTCAGTGTTGCGACATTGCCGCTTATATTGAAAAGTGGCAACAACTTTGATTTTTTCAATGGAACACTCTGTATATCAGTCCATTTTCAGATTCTCCCTAAAGAGCTGATTCCATCGATCTATAACACTTGGGATCTAGCAAGAATGATAACAAAGATATAGGGTGTGAAAAATCGAAATTTTTCAACTTTAAGAATTTTTTGTGTCGAAACTATTGATAATTGGTCAAAACGGTTCGCATGTCCTTATCTTCACTTTTCATGTTCTATCAATTGATATTCAATTGAAATGAATACAGGGAGGTTCAAAACTAAGATTTTTGACCACCTTGTATCTATTTCAATTGAATATCAATTGATAGTACATGGAAAGTTAAGATAGGGACATGAAAACCGTTTCGATCAATTATGAATAGTTTCGACCCAAAAAATTCTTGGAATTTCGGATTTTTCACACCCTATATCTTTGTTATCATTCCCGCAAGTTCCCAAGTGTCCTCAATCGATGAAATCAGGGTGTTCCATTGAACACATCAAAGTTGTTGCTACTTTTCAATATAAGCGGCAACTTCGCAACGCAGATAATGTTTTAGGTCGATACAACACAACTAATTATCCAAGACCCCAACTTTTCAGAATAATCCTGAGTTGCGTTCTCCAGAAACGTCTAATGTGTCATCAACCCTGAACCACCCTGTATCTTTTAGCTGTTATACGAAACTGTATAACCTTCAAAAGATTTCTGAATTGAATAGGCGCCAGCATAGTTTCCCTTTCCAATGTAATCGAGTCCATCATTTCAAAAAAATCATACAACTGTGAAACAACACTTATATGAGAATGAAATAACGGTCATATAGTGGTCAAATGAATATAGCATTTCAATATCAAATACTTAGTGATATAATAAAAATGAAATAATACTCAAATCAATATAATTTGCTTTCAATTTGATAGTCAAATGATTGGCATTTCAGTATAAGGAAGATCTACTTTTTCTTTTCATCTATTTAGTATACAGGGTGACCCAGGGCTGAACTGCCAAAGGTTTAAGATCAGTTTTCAGGCAAAAATGTGATTTTTTTTCCTATAAGCATGTGTCCCAACTTGCTTCATATTAGAGATATGGGGTGTCAAAGTTTTTAGAAAAAATCTGTTTTTCATCAATTACTCAAAAACCTTTAGGCTGATTTTGATGAAACTTGGCATGCTCATTTGAGGTAACTAGGGGCTCCTGTTCACTGTTCACTTAGAATGAAATTATTATTTCCAGTAGCATCCCAGATGGTTATCTATCTAATAATAGGATAAATCATTGTACGCCACTGTTCTATTTGTATGTTCATTTTTTAAATCAACCTTTCAAAAATAACATTTTTTTGTCTCATCAATAATTTGTTTATAATTTCTATTAATTTTCGATAAAATAAAAAAACGTTCGCCTGCATGTGCAGGATGAAACTATCTGCCTGATATTACGACAAATACTGCTCAAAATGACAGAAATATTGTATTTTTGAAAGTTCAATTTGAAAAATAAACATACAAATGAAACAGTGGCGTACAATGATTATCCTAATATTAGATAGATTGAAAAGGAATATTCTCAGATAAATTATGAATATACAAAAATGGATAATATACAGGGTGATTCAAAAGTAAGCGGCATCCTTTCAGAGGCGTATTCCTTGCATGAAAATAAGGCAAAAAGTTCCTATTGATAAGGATCCGAAAATGCTTCCTAAGGGAGCTACGGCCCTTTGAATAGGACACCTCAAAGACGGTTTTTTCTCTATAACTTTAAAATCCTTCACAACAAATTTTTAAAAATTGGTGTACGGCATAAACATTCGATGGTAAATAGGACTCCGTATTCGAAATAATTTCCAAACGAAATCACAGTAACCTGAATATCCGGAGAAGAAGGGATATTTTTACACTTACCCTCTCCCGCATGTGACGCCCCTGAATGAAATTCTGAAATTTCGAATACGGAGTCCTATTTACCATCGAATGTTTATGCCGTACACCAATTTTTAAAAATTTGTTGTGAAGGATTTTAAAGTTATAGAGAAAAAACCGTCTTTGAGGTGTCCTATTCAAAGGGCCGTAGCTCCCTTAGGAAGCATTTTCGGATCCTTATCAATAGGAACTTTTTGCCTTATTTTCAAGCAAGGAATACGCCTCTGAAAGGATGCCGCTTACTTTTGAATCACCCTGTATATTTATAAGAAGCAATATTGAGAATTCGCATTCTCTATGTGATGAGAATATCTACTCTTTTTCAGTTTATTCAATAGAAAACAACTACTTTCCTGGCTATATGCCACGACGAACATTGAATTATATCTATTGAACACACACGATAAGAGTTTGAAAATAAAATATAAAAACTTCTGAAATTGAGAATTTGCATTCTCCTTCAGACAAAAAAATATGCATATGCACACATCATTCTGAATATTCAACAGAAAACAACTACTTTCCTGGCTATTTGCATATACATATTTTTTTGTCTGAAGGAGAATGTAAATTCTCAATTTCAGAAGTTTCTATATTTTATTTTCAAACTTTTATCGTGTGTGTTCAATAGATATAATTCAATGTTCGTCGTGGCATATAGCCAGGAGAGTAATTGTTTTCTATTGAATAAACTGAAAAAGAGTAGATATTCTCATCACATATAGAGAATGCGAATTCTCAATGTATTGCTTCATATAAATATATATATCCATTTCTGTATGTTCATAATTTATCTGAGAATATTCCTTTTCAACACTTTCATACCCAATCAGGGGGTTCAAACTTGAACTATGGGAACTTGTGATTTTTATAGACCTCTAATCGCAGATTCATGATAGAGTCTCAATTCAGAATCTCTTTCCACGCCCTGTATGATGAATGTCAATTTATCATACACCCAAAAGCATTAGATAGATTTTCCTCTGGGACGCTACTGGAAATAATAATTTTATTATGAGTAAACAGTAAATAGGAGCCCCCCATTACCTCAAATGAGCATGCCAAGTTTTATCAAAATCAGCCCAAAGGTTTTTGAGTAATTAATGGAAAACTGATTTTTTTCTAAAACTCTGACACCCTATCTCTGAAATGAAGCGAGTTAGGACACATATGCTTATAGACATGAAAAGTCTTATTTTTGCCTAAAGACTGATCCTAAACGTTTGGCGGTTTAACCCTGGGTCACCCTGTATATTCTTACCCCCAAGTAGAGTTTTTATTGAAACTACAGAGCATTGAAGTGCATCACAAAGGCGAGATAGTCAGTACACAATATCCCAATTTGCCTACGATAAAATTGCTTCCACTTTGGAGTATTTGTTCTTCTTGTCACCACCTTGGATTATTAGTTTACAAAATTGCCAAAAATTCACACGGTGGCGTCAGTAAATAATAAGGGTTCTTGAATCACGAAACGGAATCGAAAAACCTTCATTTCTTCTGATGGGTTGTTCTTGTGAATTTTGAAGCAGCGAATAAAATTATACGAATCAAATGAATACATATAGACAATGTCCAAGATATAAATGGTGTTATCACTCCCTATTGGAAGGAGTTGATGCTTCTTATCAGCTATAATTGAATTCGTGCATCATCAAAGGGACTTTTCAGGTCCCGAAAAGAGGAAAAACATCCTTGAATGTCTAGTCCAAGATTCGAAACGCATTTTGAATTTCAAGGAATTTTCCATCGTATCTCAGTATGCATCACTTTTCTATTTTGTTTGATGATATCAATTGATATTTCAATAATTTGAAATTCAGCCTACTATCGATGAGGCACCCCATAATTGTTAATTGTGTAGGTATATGTATATCCTTCTTTTATAATTTCAAAACTGAATTAATTCATTGATGTAATCTAACAAAAAAATACAAAAACATTGATGAAACCCACTTCTTCAAGAAAATATATATACAGCAGGAATTTCTCATTCATCCTTCCATAACGTTTGACCTTGAATAGTTCAAAAGATCCACTTGCGGTGCTGGTAGAAGCAAAATAGTGGAAAACTAATCAACGAATATATAGAATTTTCAACGCGAACATCCTCTTCCCAAAATGCCAAAGTAGTCTGGTATCAGCATGGTATACATTACTCGTCTTTTTTGTTTCATGACATCAATTGATATTCCAATTATTTGAAATTCATAACTCGTACACTCATCTGGTTCGCGTTGAACATTAATTCACCTCAGTTTATTTCATTCCACAACGTTTATCAATATTATAAACTCAGTAAATTGAACATCAAAACACTCTAAAGTGTATTTATTATTCTCTAAAATTCGCTTTAGTAATCATTAAATCTGAAAGCACCAAATCGTGAACCGTAATAAATGCGAGAAATTTAGTATACATTTAATTTTCCATTATATTCCGAATAATTCCCGGGCGAATTCTAACAACTTGTTGCTCTCTGGTTCAAATAGGGAATTATTTCTCCTGTCTAATAAGCAAATAATACCAGCCGTGAAATATTGACAATTGTAAATCTATCAAAAGAAAAAGCTTAGTATATGAATGAGAAGTTCTGAGAAATGAAAAATTATTAGGATTAAAAGTGACACTTTCTTTGACAAGCAAATTTTGCATTTGCGAGGCGGAGCGTCTAGCGAAGCCCAGCAAAAGCAAAATTTGCGAGGCAAAGTCACTTTTTTGATCCGAATAAAACATGCCATTTTTGGCAACCGAAAGAATTAACTAAAATAAATATTTATTTATTTATTTATTTATTCAATTTGTAATACATCCAGCAGGCCAAGGCCCAATTACAGGAGTATATAATAGAGATTACT